TACCCAAATCGGAGTAGAACAGTGGGACGTTAAACCCATTTGATTTGGGGTTTAACATTCTACAGTTTGATAACAGAGAAAAAAATCACAGCAATTCTTCTAGTCTGGACTTTTGAGTGTGGTCACGAACAATATTATAGCCACATTCTTACAACAAGCGGTTGCCATTCAAGATACGCGCATATTTTGCAAGAGATGGACAGAGAACAAGCTCAAAAAAAGAACTGATTTTTCGTACAATCAAGGACCATAATTCAGGAAGTTACGATCTGATATGCATGAATATTGAACGGAACCAAGATCTTTGGGTTATAAACATGTATTTCAAGTTTCATCAAAATCGGATCAAAAATGTGTCCTCTCTCTAAAGGGTCCAAAACCTTGATATACCATATATTTACAATATTTGCGTACGAAGGGCAGCCATTTTGTCCGGCAGTTTTGGTCCGATTTGTACGAAATTCAGACTCAACCATCATGAGGGTGTAACATTGATATATTCAACCGTTTTTTTAAATCCAATAAAAATTGTGACATCTAGAGGGATCACATCCTAAAAACGCGACTTTTCGTACAATCAAGGGCAATAATCCCGGAAGTTACGATCCAATATGCGCGAATATCAAATGGAACCAAGATCTTTTGGTTATAAATATGTTTTTCAAGTTTCATCAAAATCGGATCAAAATTGTGCCCTCTAGAGGATCCACAACCTTGATATGCCATATATTTACACTGTTTGCGTACAAGAGACGGCCATTTTGTCCGGCAGATTTGGTCCGATTTCCACGAAATTCGAACTCAGCCATCATAATGGTGTAACGGTGATATATTCGAATGTTTTTTTAAATCGGTTAATAACCGTGCCCTCTAGAGGGACCACAAGCTAAAACACGATTTTTCGTACAATCAGGGTCATAATTCAGGCAGTTGCGATCCGATATGCGCGAATATCGAAAGCAACCACGATCGTTGGGTTATAAACATGCATTTCAAGTTTCATCAAAATCGGCACAAAATTGTGACATCCAAAAGGTCCACAACCTTAATATACCAGATGTTTACACTATTTGCGTACAAGGGGCGGCCATTTTGTCTGGCAGTTTTGATCCGATTGTCACGAAATTCGAACTCAACCTTTATTACGGTGTAACGGTGATATATTCAAACGGTGTTTTAAATCGGATGATAATTGTGACCTCTAGAGCGACCCCAAGCTAAAAACGCCATTTTTCGTACAATCAGGGACCATAATTCAGGCAGTTACGATCCGATATGCACGAATATCGAAAGAAACCAAGATCTTTGGGTTAAAAAAAATGCATTTCAAGTTTCATCAAAATCGGATTAAAATTGTGACCTCTACAGGGTCCACAACATTGATATACCATATTTTTACGCTATTTGACTACGAGGCGTGGCCATTTTGTCTGTCAGTTTTGGTTTGATTTTTACGAAATTCGAACTCAACCATCCTTAGGGTATAACGGTGATATATTCAAACGTTTTTTTTTAAATCGGATAAGAATTATGACCGCTATAGGGTCCACAAGCTAAAAACGCGATTTTTCGTACAATCAGGGGCCACAATTCAGGAAGTTACCATTCGATATGCACGAATATCGACAGGAACCGAGATCTTTGGGTTATAAACCTCCATTTTAAGTTCCATCAAAATCAGAAGACAATTGTGACCTCTAGAGGGTCCACAACCTTGGTATACAATATTTTTACCTATTTGAGAACGAGAAGCGACCATTTTGTCTGTCAGTTTTGGGCCGATTTTCAATAAAAATTATGACCTCAATAGGGTCCACAAGCTAAAAACGTGATTTTTCGTAAAATCAGGGCCATAATTCAGGAAGTTACGGCTCGATATGCGCAAATATCAAAAGGAACTGAGATCTTTGGGTTATACACTTGCATTTCAAGTTTCCACAAAATCGGATACAAATTGTGAACTCTACAGGATCCACAACCTTGATATACCATATTTTTACGCTATTTGAGAACGATGGGCGGCCATTTTGTCAGTCAGTTTTGGTCCGATTTTCACGAAATTCGAACTCAGCCATCCTTACGGTGTAACGGTGATATACTAAAACGTTTTTTTTTTTAAATCTGATAAAAATTATGACCTCTATAGGGTCCACAAGCTAAAACCGCGATTTTTCGTACAGAGGCCATAATTCATGAAGTTACAGTCCGATATGCGTGAATATCGAAAAGCTCTGAGATCTTTGGGTTATAAACTTACATTTTAAGTTTGAACAAAATCGGATAAAAATTGTGACTTCTATAGGGCCCACAAGCTAAAAACGCAATTTTTCGTACAATCGGGGGTCATAATTCAGGAAGTCATGGTCCGATATGGGCGAATATCGAAAGGAACTGCGATCTTTGGGTTATAAACATATATTTCAAGTTTAAACCAAATCGGATAAAAATTGTGACCTCTACAGTGTTCACAATCTAAAAACGTGATTTTTCGTGCAATTAAGGGCCATAAGCCATGAAGTTATAGTCCGATTCATGCCAATATCGAACGGAACCGAGATCTTAGGGTGATAAACCTATATTTCAAGTTTCGTTGAAATCGGATAACAATTGTGACCTCTAGAGTGTTCACAAACAATTGTGGAAGGACGGACGGACGGACAGGGGTGACGACAATATACGTCCACATGAAAATGTGGGCGTATGAAAATCATTAAAAGAGGGTAAGTGGCCACACCTCATTTGATATACAGAGATTAAACACCAGGACCAGTTGTGTGATTCCATATTATTGGTCAAAGCCACCAGAGTTTCAAAACTGTCCATTCTGAGGGTGGTGTGAACTTAACAGGCATTAAACTTAAACATACATTATGCAAGAGCTAAATCTGATTATTGCAAGTCTTAATTTAGGCTTCAAATGTTATAGAAATTATAAATTAGATCTTTATTTAAACAACAAGCCCAAAATCAACTCTGTAGACCCACGGATGGCTCGGCTATAGCTCGGATTTAAATAGGATTTCACTAATTGATTAAATCAAATAATGGCGCAACCTGATGAAAATACGTCAGTTAGAGCGAGGCTAAATGATAGAGTGTACTTAGCGAGGCCGCTGTAAAGCGTTTCCGTATGCCATTGAAAACTTTACTTGATAATCGAGATATGTAGGTGGAGTTAACGCCTGTCAATCAAACGATCAGCGAAGGTGAAGACACAATTCGCTACCATTTCTAGGCAAATATTACAACGATGATAACTATGTTCAGAATAAAGTAATTTGACTGACATTTTCAATATATTCTTCTTTCATCATTTACTTTTGAACTGTTATAGCAAGAATGGCCAACTCTCTATAAAAATCTCCCATAATGTATCTTTAATGACCGTGTTCACCGAGTGAAGATATATTTAACAAAAGTGGACTCCTCGGGTTTCTGTAAACGTTATATTTCTGAAATATTAAAGTTCTGTTATTCCAAGGCTTAGCTGTTTACTAAAATCTCCTCCACGACGCCATCATACGGCGGCCTCAGATGACAGATTTGAGTTGTGGGAAGCGGGAGAAGTCAGCAAAAGGAAGCTATGATAGGGGTGAGGATCTTGAAGTCACATTCCATTGCACTACTGACTGCTACTTGGGCGTTGTTAACTGGGGCATCGTCGTCCAGGAACAGCCAGATACCGGAGGAAGTCTACCTCGGCGTTATTATTTGATTTGATTCCATAACCTTAGCAATTCATCTGCATAATATGCACCATTTATGGCTGAACCCTTCTTTAGATAATCTATCATGATTACGCTCTCGGTATTCCAGAAAACGGAGTTCATGACTTTGTTACTGTAAGACGTTCTTGTGGGCATTTTTGGGGGATGCTAACGTCACATGCTTTCACTGCATACATTGACTTTTTGTTTCCGGATCAAAGAGGTGACCTCAAGTTATATCCTGAATCACAATATGACCCAAGATAGCACGCAGACCTCTCCGATGGTCCTCTTACCATGAATCTGGGAGTTTTTGTTCTTTAGTCAACATTCTGGGCACCATGTTTACCATCTTCAGTAGACGCCTAGCTAGATATTATAAACCTTACAGTCGTTGCTTCGGGAACATGCCTATAAATTCATGTGCAAATTTCCATGGATTATTCGTTTGACTGATGTTTGGCCAATGCTATGATTTGTAACATTGCACTAAATGAAGGACCTTGGCTTGTCCACTAATGTCATCACGAAATTGCTTTGGTGTAAACTTAATCACGGCTCTGTATTCGGTTTTTCTCCATTTTGAGAGCACGTGAGTGGATCATGCTGTTTGGCGCCTATATAATATAGGAAATTATAGCACGTCGAAATCATGAGATACTTTTGTAGAAACCGAGCTGATGCTGCTGATTGTGAGACCGGACACGTTTGGGATACCCCTCGTATTGTCCTTGGTTGATTGATTTTTATTCATTTCTTATTACTAAGTGCCATCTAAAGCACATCTTCATACCAAAATATAACCATATATAACCAGCCGATACAGGCATTCATCCCTCTAAACATTAATGCATTCACAGACAATATACCTTGTCGTGTATAATACTATATATTATAGCGTGTATACGCGTATAGCTACGAATCCCCGGTTGTACGTGAAAAGGGGTAGGTTCGCCTGTCCAACCTCGTGGGTTTTCTCCGGGTCCTCCGGTTTCCTCTCACTGCTAAAGACCCCTATGCGCAAGCGAATTATTGAAATAAAATTAAACCATATGTTAGTCCCGAAATGACATAGTTGTGTCGAGTGGACGTTAAACCCATTTCTCTCTCTCTCTCTCTCTCTCTCTCTCTCTCTCTCTCTCTGTATAGCTACGTTTCACTATATTTATTATTGAATAGGGCCACGGTCAATAAATGGCATACATATTCTTTATATTAAAATCATGTGACAGATATTTACACGGTGACTATGGTGACATAATAATATCATTGTTAAAGACGGGCAAACGGTGAAAGCAATATGGCGGAGAAAAATGATCGTCTGAACTGTAGCATTTGTTTAAACGAATTCGAGAAGCCTAAAATCTTAGACTGTTTTCATTCATTTTGCGAGAGTTGTCTTAGTGACTATGTTAGTAAGTTTGAAGAATATGGCGAATTTTTGTGTCCGTTGTGTAGACGTAATATTCAAATCCCCACTGGTGGGGTGAAGGACTTGGCTTCAAATGTTTACATTAAAGACAGACAAGGCACCCACCAACTTGAAAGTAACCCACTATGTAATATTTGTGATGAGGATATCCAATCAGAATTCCGGTGTAAAGACTGTGACAAATTCATGTGTGATTCATGTAAAACTACTCATGATTTGTTCGTTAGAGGTTTGAATCATTACGTCATATCACTTGAAGAAGACGACACCAATGACGCCCCGTCGCGCCATGTCATTTGTCAACATCACCAGAAGAAGTTTGCAGTTTATTGTTCAGACTGTTCCAAAGTAATTTGTTCTAAATGTTCAAAGAAAGAACACGAACATCATACAATAATAAACACTGATGACACAGATCAAGCTATTAAAGCGGCTAAAGCAAGTCTCGAGAAACTAAAGAAGGACATAGACCACCAGATACAACGGTTATGTGATTGTCGAGATGTGGTGAAAACGTCATCGTCAAACCTCCACGAATCAATAACAACACCCTGTAAGTTGGTAGATCAACAAGTTACGACTATTTGTGAAACAGTAAAATCTCATGGTGAAATAATTAAACACGACATCAAGAAATCGGAATTTGATGAACATAAACTTGACCAGATGCACCAAGAACTCGTTACCATAATCGATGAATTAAAAACAGGTAATGCCGAATTATCTGCGGATCTGACAACCGATGATTCTGTGGATTTATTAGATGGATTCCCTGATCTTAGAAACAGATTAACGGTTATAGAAAATAAACCGTTTTATATTCCAGAGTTTAAGATACCAGGTGTGAAGTTGGGTGATGTTGATGACGAGGTGTTACGTAATACAATAGGACAGGTAGAATATACTCAATCAATTCAACATACTTTTCGTTTAATTGGTTCTGTTTATGGAAATATTTTGTCAAGCCCCTATTTTGTTGTGCAGGGTACTCCACTGTATCTTGAATTACAGTATTACTTGGACGAGTTACATATCAACCTTAACAAGACAAAGGGTACTTTTAGATCTCCTGTCACGCTCCTACTACCGAAAGTAGGGACTTATAAAAAGGATTTCGATAAACCAGATCAATACGGCAAATACTTCTGGCCATTTTCTCTGGATAGAAAAAGTAAAACCCCAAACACTGTAACAATTAAAGCAATATGTAAAACTCCATGATTGACATGTTGTATTATTGATTTTAAACTATGAACTATATATGTAGTATAGTATAAGCCACTTACTAAAACCTTTAACCATTCACTTTTAATAGAACACCTACAAAATTATTAGGCACTTGTATTGATCACTGATTAGCCAAGGTGATTTATTGTCAATTAAGTGTTCATCAAAGAATGTATCGACACCGATTTTTGAAGCGATTACCAGAAATCGCCAAATCACCTCTGGGTGTGATATAATCGGGTGGTCACGTGTTTGATTTTCTTTTTCAAGTGAGTCCAGCCACAAGCATTGTTTACCGCTAATCGGCGCATTTAAAGGGCAATATTGGTGTCAGTCATTATTACATATGTGATAGAACTGGTTAAATACACTCCATATATAATTTTAACACAGAGATCATTGCTACGGGAGATGTGTAACAAACCCTTGAATAAACGGGAAGTGATGACAAACATGACAAACACGAGTTATCCTTCTATATAACTTCCCGTTTATTCAAGGGTGTGTTACACATCTCCCGTAGCAATGATCCCTGTGTTAAAATTATCACACATGTAATAATGACTGACACCATTATTGTACTTTAACGAACTCGCCAAAGTACTTTGAAATCAACTATACTGCCACATGACTAAATACTGTCACATTACTAACTCTGGCAAGTCGATAAAAAAGCCTATTGTAACTATTAGCCTATTGGGGTACACCTATTGGCTTGACACTGACAGATACAGTTGATACACTCAGGTCAAAACCCATGTGATAGGTGCATCTTTTCCCCAAAAATGGGTGATTATCATGATTGTTTTTTTATTGTCCATTTATCGAACCAGCTGGGTTTAGTAACTAGTTCACTACCGCTCAGTTTAAACAAGTTTGTTTTTTTGGTTTTTTGTTTTTATAATACTGAATCAATGGAGGGATATTTCTGACAGTAACTATTTACGATCAAATTTGTACTTTATTAATTAGTAATTCATTGTATAAAATTCCCTCCCGCCACACCCTGCTTTATTTCATTTTCATTTCGGATGGTGGAACCTTTTTTTACCCTACATTTGCTTTACGTTCTGTATTTTATTTAGTATAGAAGTTATTTTTTTAATTTTTACATAAATCATGATATTGTTCGTACGTTGTTACTGAATAAAATGACTGTTCAACAAAGAGAATCTGTTTTGTCAAATCTTTTGCAATGGACAACTGGTTTATACTCTGATTTTTGTGGGGTTATATAACGATACTAGCTGGTTGGGGTCGTTGTTGTCGCAATCCTGGCAATTATAAAGTGCATTTTTGAGTTTATTGTGTGCACTTTATAACATTCAAAACACATACCAAATTTTGCAACGGAAAGCTGTAAAATTCAATATATAGCCGACATTCAAGGTATTCTCTTTAAGATCATATGTATTAAGACCATATTAAGTTAATGTTATAGATGTCATTCTTATATACTCGGTGGTCTTCTGGTCCATTTGTAGGAATATCCCCGTCTTCATTAGCCCAGTATAGGAGCAGAACAGTAGGACGTTAAACCCCATTTCATTTCATTTCCTACCGTCAACCCGCGACCGACAATCCACAGTTACGAATAGGTATTCTCTGCACCGGCCGCTTGATCATATATTAACTCAGTGGTGTTAATTAGTCTTTTATCCAAATTTAAAAATATTCGTAACTCTGCACAGTTTCATCACATACTGGCATATTTGGAATACATGTATATTTGAGGCTTGCCTTATTTAATTTCACATATTCCTCTATGTTTTAACCCGGTTTCACATTAATACATTTTATATTGTCCAATTAGACTATCTCGGCCCTCACTTAGTTCCCTTTTCTCCGGGTTCCCCTCCTACAGCTAAAGACCTACATGCAAGGAAATTATTGAAATTAAACTGAACAATATATGTTAGTCCAGAAATGACCTAGTTTGTGTCGAATGGACATTAGAGAAAAATTATATATCAAAACTCTGTTCGTGAGGAGCCACAGCTGGAGACCTAGTTACTGTGCTAGAGGGTTAATGTATTTGTACGAGTATTTGTAGCCAGGAATTGGGCAGGCAATTTATCCAAATTTAAAAATACATTTGTCGTTCGGATGCTACAAAAAATCGAGGTCCCGTGTACACATTGGCGTGCACGTAATTGATCCCTTGACAGTTGGAATTCGATATAAGAGTAGGCCGTAGCGCCACTGTCCGGGCAAAATTTTCCTCATAGCACACTGCATGGCGTATGCCCGTTTTCATTACACTGTAAAAATTTCCAAGGTTTTTTTACCGGAAAATCCAGGCAGAAAAGTTGCCCGGAAAAGTCGGTAAAATTACTTTTTGTGTTATTTTACCAGGAGAGGTTTATTAAATTTTACCAGATGCTGTTAAAATACATTTAATGTTATTCTACCAGAAACAGGTTTTTAAAATTTACAAGTATACTGTTAAAATACATGTAAATGTTATTTTACCAGAGAGGAGAATTTTAAATTTACAAGTATACTGTTAGAATACATGAAAATGTTATTTTACCTAAAAGGAGTATTTTAAATTTTACCAGATACTGTTAAAACACATGAAAATGTTATTTCACCAGAAATGAGGTTTTTTAATTTTACAAGTATACAGTTAAAATAACTGTAAATGTTATTTTACCAGAAGGAGTATTTTAAACTTTACCAGATGCTGTTAAAATACATAAAAAATTTATTTTACCATGAATAAGGTTTTTTTTGATTTAGAAGATGTTAAAATACTGATATTTTGGTAGATTTACTGGAAGCGGTTAATTGCAACATTGGTAATTTTACAGTGTGTATGTAAATTTTCATATCAGTTTCACATTGTGGTAGTAATAATTACACAGTTACAGGTAATAACTTGGGTTACCATAAATGTACAGTGGGTTGAATACAACAACTTGTGGGTAGTTAAAATCCAGTTCTCATTTCAATTGTATAAGTAAAGAAGTTCAGAACTGATGGAATTTCACCTTTCATTGAAAGGAAAGTAGTCCCTTCCGATTATTCGCCACTCCCCAATTCTACAAATAGAACCCAAAATGGTTTGTCATTTGCTACAGAGTCTGCGCTGGAAAAAATGTGGTGAGATTGCTCCAATCAATAGATGGATTTCTTGTACATTTGTTAATTTCGTATTTCAATATTTCATTTTGCCTTTGTTTGCAGTTACAGGGACCTGTGACTTGAAAGTCATTTTAATTGTCAATTTAACTCCCATTCATGTGAATTGTGGAAGAAAACAAAACATGACTTTGTCGATAAAAATTGTTTAATTAATAATAAACTAACATAACTAAGTATCTTATACAAACAAATGAAACATTTATCAGAAGATTTTAATTTGAAAAATTAAATTCAGTGACCGATTTGCTTTTAATGTTAAAACAACCACAACTTTTACCACTAAATAACAATTATCATAATTAAAATATTCTAATAAATTGTATAAACAACTTCAAAAAAATAATATCGAAAGTATTTAACTTCAAAATATAAAAAGCTGTTTCTGTTAATTGTATGATCAGCAAAAAAAATGTTTATTCTCTAAAAAGACTGTCTTGTCTCAAATTTGTTTGTTCACCCAAATACTGGCAGAACTTGCAGACAAAATTATTAAACTAACTTAGATCTGTTCACATTAAAACAATGGAAAGCACTCCTGAAATAATTCCTCAAAATCTCACAATACTGCAAAGAATGTGGAAGATCACATAATATAATACAAGTATGTACCCCTTGATTGCATTTTTATACATTAACAATCACTTCATTCATTGTTTAGTTAATCAATTTAATTAATTAAGTGATTATGATGTACAACAAAAACACCAAAAGCACTTTGTTTTTGATTAAATAGTTTCTGAACAAGAAGATGATCAATTCAGAATCATAAAAATATATGCCAATATATTGAAACAACTTATTACAGTAAAATTATTAAACTACTGACTCAATAAAGGGGTGGATTCCTGCACAGATTATAGTCGAAAGGTAGAGGGTTGCTTGATGAATGTGTCATTATCACACAACATGTAGGTGGGACAGGTTGTTAATACATTGCATGTTATTTCATGGCTGTAATAATAGTTCTATTATTAGCAACATATCCTTGTAATTGTCAAATCATTCAATTCAAAAGTAACTACCATTCATGGATACAAAATCACAAATGTTCATCTTGTATTCAATATAAGAATGTTGTTGATAAATTAGACCTTCACATTGTAACATTCAAACTTCTACTGCAAATAAGCTGACAAGTTGTAACAACTACAGAGCCTCACCAATATTGAGATGTTTCAGATTGAAGTTTTACATTAAGAACATCACGTAATTCATTTACAGATTTTAAATTAGAACTGAATGTTATTCAGCTGCACACTGTGTGTCAAACTGATGAAAAATTTGTACTGACAATAAGAAATAATGAAAACATACTTGTTGAAACAAATGTTTTGTATCAATAATAATAATAATGCAGATATTAATTTCGAAACTCCTCCATATTAGAACAAATGCAATTGAGTATTCTCACAAACATTGTAAGTGCGAGTGCATTGTCTAACTCATTGCAGAGTAGATAATATTCTTACAAACATAAAATTCTGAATCTAAAACAAAATATTTGTAAATATTCTTAAACAACTGTTTGTTCAACTGAACTAGTAAAATAATTACAAATCACTTTAATTTAATAAACAAAACATAAATTTAAAAAGACATACTGTCGCTCAGAGAATAAAAAATATTCATGTTCGATTGGCAAATGTTTCAAATTTTGATAAACACCATTAAGTATCTCGAAATATCACAAAGTCACATAGTCAACATTGAAAACATTCCGTCAACATTTCACGATTTTAATTATTTACGCTACTTGCTCGATATACGGTAACAGTACTACAACTTTAACATAAACTAAATGTGTTGTCTTCATTATACATTCAGCAAAACATATATAGGCAGTATTCATGAATATTAGAGATTTCAATAAATAGTACATAGTACTAATAGTTTCCACTGGCGTTACAAGTTGTTATCTTTATTATTCAAACACAAATCATTAGATTGTTGTTTTCAGGCATTCTCAACAACATTGAATTTCAGACCATCTGGAAACTAGAAAAAGATTAACTCTATTCTTCAACTTGACTCTGGAAAACCCTTGTTGATAAAATTAACTTGAGATATCACCTAATGTACTTAAATTTAACTAGAACTTATAAGAAAGTATTATCCCGATAACATCATATGTACTGTACACTAAGTGACTAGATTATACAAATAATTATACATATAATGTTGGAAGCCAACACAATATACAATCAAGGTATGAGGGTGTGCACAATGAATTTCACTAAGTGTAAGACGTTAAACCCCATTTCATTTCATTTATTCATTCTATTTTATAGCATGTGGTAATATATTCATAGACTACACATATACTATCACACTGATCAGTAGTGAATATTCGCTATGCTGCTACAATCAATCACTAAGTGTGATAACATCGGTGCGAGTTAATTAACTCGCAATATTTAACTGTTTTCCTACTGTAAATTAAATTTTATAAAAATATTTTAAGTATTAGAAAAGTAAATAATGGTGTTTGAAATATATCTGGATAATAAATATTTAAAATTTAGTTTAAATGGGTATACTAAATAAGTAAACAATGCACGCGCCCTCAAGCCAATGAATGACGCCACGTGATATGTCACGTGTAGAATGCATTTAACTTTCAAAGTCAGTCATCTTATACAGGGGTAAATAAGCTACTTTCGCAATACCTCTGTGAAACATATCGATTGCGCAGCCTGTACACAGAAAGAGAGAGAGAGAGAGAAAGAGAGAGAGAGAGAGAGAGAGAGAGATGGGGTTTAACGTCCACTCGACACAAACTAGGTGTTTATTAGGTGATGAGTCCGGAGATGAGCATTTTCTAATCATGGTAAGCAGAGATAAGCAATTTGATTGGTTGATGCTTTGGGACACAATAACATTATAGTTCTAATTGATTGGTAATTATAGTATAGTTTCATTACATCAATACCTTGACTAAGTTCGATAATGTATGCCCGTCTTCATCACCACAGCCGGAGCAGAACAGTAGGACGTTAAACCTTTTTTCATTTCATAATATCGCGTAAAAAAAATCATATTGTTGGGTTAAAATGTCGGGTTGTCGCCTTATGAAGGTCGACATCACGACATGATACCAATCAGCTAGCATAGTATACACTTTTGTCACGGTGAAATGGCCAGATGCTTTACGTACTATCATGGACCGCGGAACAAAATTCTGAAGGCTACGTGGGCGTTGCCTGTCCATCTATATATATATATATATATATATATATATATATATATATATATATACGGTCCATGGTACAATCAATATGTCACCCTTATTATTCGCCGTGGCAAATATAAATGAAATGGGGTTTGACGTCCTACCTTTCTGTACCAGCTGGGATAACGAAGACGTACATACTCTATACAGTGTGATATGAGGGAAGTTTTATCTGGCTATAATTTAATATTATTTCCATTTCCAGCTGTGTGTGTGAAATAGCTTTAGTTAACGTCCGCTTCCACCTAAATGATATCACAGACAATATTCCCAGCTGTCAAGAGTTCTTTTAAGTACACACCAACGTGTATACGGCACATTGGTTACTCGTCCAATCTGAATTACTCAATGTTGTTCCCTGTCAGGCCTCCATCCCGCACCATTGACAATGGGAAAGTGCCCCGGAAATACCGAGAAATTTCTCGGTCAACACCGGAATAGAACACGAAGGAAGAATAAGCAAAAACAACCTAGTCCGGGCAAATATTCTCTCAAACACTGCATGGCGTATGTCCATTAATTAGTTCAATTGGTGTAGAAATGCAGGAAGGTAATAAACCCATATAAATTTATTTTTCGTCGTTTCAAGTTTGTATCTCAACTAACAGAAAAGTGCTATAAATCTCATCTACGGTGAGGTAATTTTTTTTTTCTGGGGGAGGGCCGCGTACCCACCCCTGCTTTTGTGGATACAGAATCTTGACATATATTTTCAAAATCATTATATCTTTTTAGTACTACATGAAATAAACCGATTGAAAGTTTAAAAAGTTATTAAAACATGAAACATTAGATGAATTAAATAATAAAGGGATGACGAAATGAATGAAAGGAGGAAGAACAAACACAGCGATATAAATTCAATAAAATAAAATGGTGGGTTAAGTTCTATTTTATGCACAAACCCGACTAATGATATAAAATGGGGTTTATGTTCTATTTTTCTCCACAGACCTGAACAATGTAAACGGGTGTAAGTCATACAGTGTACTGTGAGGAAGTGAGGAAGATTTTGCCCGGACAGTGGCATTCCCGCCCACACTATCTAATTAAACGCCATCTCGGGGTCACAGTGGCTAAGTGGGTAAGGCGCTGACTTGCTATCCTGGGGGTCGGGTGTTCGATCCCTGCATTGGCCGAGAAAGTTCATCGGGATTTTGTCAGTGGTGCAGGAAGGGGGGCCTGACAAGGACTGCTGTCTAGTCGTTCGGATGGCACGAAAAACCGAGGTCCCGCGTATACATTGACATACAAGCAACAGATCCCTCGGCAGTTGGAATTTAATATAAGAGTAGGCCATAGTGCTGCTGACCGGGCAAAATTTGCTTCATAGCACACTGTATGGCGTATGCCCGTCTTCATTAGCCCAGTCGGGGCAGAACAGCATAACGTTAAAAAAAAAACATTTCATTTCACACGCCATCTCGGTCGTCCGTCCTGCACTATCCCCATTGCGTTAGATTATAGCCGTGCCATTCGCCAATTGGGGGAGGGGCAGTTCGATGCCTGCCTGTACGTGACAAGGAGTAGGATACCCTGTTCAACATCTTGGGATTTCTCAACCCCACCCACCCTCACACATACACACACACACTCACTGCTACATACCCGTAGGCTCTAGCGAATCATTGAAATAAAACTAAACCATATATTACACGAGTAGAAGTTAACCCCCCACCCCTTTCTCTCTCTCTCTCTCTCTCTCTCTCTAGCCAATCGGGTAATTATGAGCAATTCAGAATATGTCCACCTCTTATACAATACAGTAAGCAAAGCGTATAAAGCTAGCATTGCTGCAATATGTACACATGTATATAGCCTATTATACTTGACGATTAAATCAGGTATAACTTAATATAACAATTAAACAGTTATTCAAAGGTTAAAAATAGATAGACCTATCTCTGTATTTAATGAATAGAGCCACAGTCAATAAATAACATACATATTCTTTATATTGGAATCATGTGACACATATTTACAAGGTGTCTATGGTGACATAATAATGCCATTGTTAAAGACGGACAGGCAGTCAAAGCAATATGGCGGAGAAAATGATCGTCTGAATTGTAGTATTTGTTTAAACGACTTCAAGAAGCCTAAAATCTTGGACTGTTTTCATTCATTTTGCGAGAGTTGCTTAAGTGATTATGTCAGTAAATTTGAAGAAAATGGCGAATTTATGTGTCCGCTGTGTAGACGCAGTATCCCAATCCCCTCTGGTGGGGTGAAGGACTTGGCTTCTAATGTTTACATTGAAGAAAGACAAGGCGTCCATCAACCTGAAAGTAACCCACCATGTAATATTTGTGATAAGGCTATCCAATCACAATTCAGGTGTAAAGATTGTGACAAATTCCTGTGTGACTCGTGTAAAACTACTCACGATTTGTTTTTTGGAGGCTTGGAGTTAAACCATTACGTCATATCACTTGACGAAGACGATTCGGATGACGTCAAACCTGTGCGCCATGTCATTTGTCAACATCACCAGAAGAAGTTTGCAGTTTATTGTTCAGACTGTTCCAAAGTAATTTGTTCTAAATGTTCAAAGAAAGAACACGAACGTCATACAATAATAAACACCGAGGACACTGATCAAGTTATTAAAGCGGCTAAAGCAAGTCTGGACAAACTAAAGGAGGACATAGACCACCAGATCCAACGACTATGTGATTGTCGAGATGTGGTAAAAATGTCATTGTCAAGTCTCCACGAATCAATAACAACAGCCTGTAATATGGTGGATCAGCAAGTTACGACTATTTGTAAAACAGTAAAATCTCAAGGTGAAATAATCAAACATGATATCAAGAAATCCCAGATTGATGAAGCGAAACTCAACCAGATGCACGAAGAACTCGTCACCTTAATCGATGAATTAAAAACAGGTCATGACGAATTATCTGACCATCTGACAACCGGTGATTCTGTGGATGTATTAGATGGGTTCTCTGATCTGAAGAAGAGATTAACGGATTTAGAAAATAGACCGTTTTATATTCCAGATTTTAAGCTACCAAGTTTGAAGTTGGGTTATGTTGGTGGCCATGCGATGTGTAATACAATAGGACAGGTAGAATATACTCAGAGACAATCAATACAACATACCTTTAGTTTATATTCCAGAGTTTAAGATACCAAGTGTGAAGTTGGGGGAGGAATACTGTCAGTCGTTACCTAATGCAATAGGACAGGTTGAATATACTCAATCAATACAACATACTTTTATTTTTATTGATAATGCCACCGAAAAGACTTTATCAAGTCCATGTTTTATTGTGCAGGGTACTCCATTGCATTTGGAATTGCTTTTGATTCTGAGGTCACGCTCGAAACACTGGGTACTGAAACTTGGCGAAACCAATTCAAACAAAGCCAATACTCCTGGAGAATAGATCGAGGTTTGGGTTTTAATGTAGTTAGTAATAAACTCGAAACCGTAACAATTAAAGCAACATTTACACCCCCAAATCACGATATGGCGATTGCTAATATTTAACAACATAAAATATATACTTTTTGTTGTTAGTTTGGAATTAAATGTAAATAAATAACGCAAGGTTGGAATCTTCGTAACAAAGGCGCATCATATTGCAAACATGAACGTCATGTTTTCATATTCAAAAGTTTCTTCTTCAGATGATCGGCTGAAAAATGTGAATAATAGACAGGAAGAAACGATATAGAAAAAGCCGTATTCAGTATTGGGTTATTAAAGTCCCGATGCGCCATTTTTAGCAATAAGAAAAAAGTTCAAACAACATGATTGTAACAGACAAATCTCTAATAGAAATATCAGTCTAAAAATGGTTCAGTTCCGTTCAGTATTTACAAAGATATGTGGAATTGAAATTTTATCATCTATGCTGTTCGCTTTGTAACAAGACGCCGCTGTCTTTTATCGGTATCGGTAGAAACCCGATAGGCCTAGTTTACATCTGATTGAATTCAATCCCGTGTTCTGATTTTATTTTCTTAATCAATCTGAGTATATACTAACGTGTATTGAGCCGTGAGAAATTTGATATTTTTGCGAAGATGCAAATGGCGCATCGAGACTTTAAAGGTCAAAAATTGATTAAACCATATCTTCATCTTACAAAATCATTTATTTAAAGATGTATGATGTAAGAGATAAATCGGCCTATAGCATGTCTTTGTTTTGGCTTCAAATGTTATAAAAACTATTTTTTAGACATCTATTCACATGACAAGTCCATAATCTATGGAAGCGTATTTGGGTCACTACTTATTGAGATAATATCGCAACACATCGAACTAAAATATGTCAACTTCATGAGTTATATTACAAAAAATCGACTTAATAAGTCGACTCGACGCATTAAATTCACCTCAAAATGACAAAAACTATGTCGATATGTTTACATTATGCCATTAGTCGATTTGACTCTAAATCAACAAGTCATATTTTAATGCAATATATAGACTTAATAATGTCGCCGTTTTCAGTTATGTACCACGTGCTTAATTTCATTGCCCGAGATTGCTTATTCATGAAAGTGCAGCCAATGATGGGGTTTAACGTCCACTCGACACAAACTAGGTCAATTCGGGACTAACATATGGTTTAATTTTAGGGGTCTTTAGCAGTGGGAGGAAACCGGAGGACCCGGAGAAAACCCACTAGGTTGGACACGCAACCCTACTCCTTGTCACGTACAACCGGAATCTCCTACCAGTCTTTTTTGATATCAAAAAATATCAACACAAGTTGATAAAGTAACAAAATACGAGGCTCTGCCGAGTTTTTTTTTACATTATCAACGAGTGTTGATATTTTTTGATATCAAAAAAGACGAGTAGGAGATTTTATTTATCACCCAATCCCTTCTTACATGCACAAATAGATAGATATAATTCTTTGCTGTAGATTTCCCTTTAACTGAACATTACGGCGTAGTGATACATCATTTTTTGACAGCAATTAAACCATTGCACAAGTCCTTTATATTGACCCAGTGTTTCCATCAAGATCAATTGAATAATAATAGTTAATTTTTAATAAAAAAAAATGTTACTTTTAATAATAAATGAACTGTTCTTTGAAAATAAAAAAAGTAGTTCCTTTTCAACTGACCAATCAAATTCATGTAAAGCGATATCTCCTAAGGAGATATCGCAGTAGATTATGAAATACATCACACAAGCGATATCTACTGTAGAATGTATTATTGGGTGATAAAATTATTTCTGCAATGGGTCTTTACGAGAATAAAGATTATTAGATTCTATATTTGTTTTACTAGTATCAAGGTCGTTTGTCTTATTTAATTTTACATTATAATAATACATCGATTCATTCTATATAACCGTGATACGTGGGGGGTCGTGGTGATTCAGTGAGTAAGACGTTAATTGATATTTATACCATTATACCATTTTCGTGGTACCCCCTAACCCCCAAACTGGACAGAGGGTCTGGGAAGGGATATCGTATATGATGAGACGAAAAACTGAGATCCGATGTACATATTGGCGTGTACGTAAAAAAAGACCTTGACAGTTTGAATTGAAAATAAGAGTAGGCTGTAGCGTCGCTATCCGGCCAAAGTGTCCCTCAGAGAATACTGTTTGCCCGTCTTCATTAGTCCAACCGGAGCAGAACAGTAGGACGGTAAACCCCATTTCATTTATTGAACAAATGTAATGTCGCGTAAAAACAAAATCATACTGTCGGGTTAAAATGTCGTGATGTCGGTTTGTCGAGTTATCAGTTTGCCGCCTTATGAAGGTCGACATCACGATACCAATCAGCCAGCATAGTATATACTTTTGCCACGGCGAAATGACCAGACGCTTTACGTTAAATCATGTACCGCGGAACTAAATTCTGAAGGCTACGTGGGCGTTGTCTGTCCATCTATATATATACGGTCCATGGTACAATCAATATGTCGCCCTTATTTTTCGCCGGGAAGAATATAAATGAAATGGGGTTTGACGTCCTATCTGTCTGCACCAACTGAGATAATGAAGACGGACATACTCTATACAATGTGATACGAGGGAAGGTTTGTCTGGCTACAATTTAATATTATTTCCATTTCCAGCTGTGTGTGTGAAATAGCTTTATTTAACGTCCGCTTCCACCTATATGATATCACAGCCAAGATTTCCAGCTGTCAAGAGTTCTTTAAAGTACACGCCAACATGGACGTGGAACCCCGATTTCACGTCCCATCTGAATTACTCAATGTTGTTCCCTGTCAGGCCTCCATCCCGCACCATTGACAATGGGAAAGTACGCCGGAAATTACTGTGGAACTTTCTCGGTCAACACCGGGATCGAACACGGGAGAAGAGAATAAGCAAAAACAACCTAGTCCGGGTAAATATTCCCCCACACACTGCATGACGTATGTCCATCTGTATAAGCCCAGTTGGAGCAGAAATGCAGACCGTTAAACCCAATTTAATTTGGTTTTCGTCGTTTCCAGTTTGTATCTCAGCTAACAGAAAGGTTCTATAAATCTTATCTACGGCAACTTAATTTTTAGAATTTTCTGAGGGAGGATCCCCGTATCCTCCGTCACAAGGGCTCTCAGCAACGGGCCGCCTACGTCGGCAGATCTCTATGCTGCAAACTTCAGTCAAATTGCTTCAATCTAAGCCGCGAAAACTTTATTTTAAAATCACTGTAGCCCCGATTGTCATTGTTACCGCTGTTACGATAATTATCAAAGTCCTGATTATCCATTTTTGCGGTTAATCATCATCAATGAAAATCGGACACATAAGATGGCATCGAGAGTTGATTATGGTCTTGTTTTGTTAATACATGTCTAATTAATAGTTTATATAATAGACAGATTTACCTCTTGCATAATGCATGTTTAACACTGAATGGAATTGAACCAATTTTGGATTTTAAAGATTCAACATTCATAATAAAATGGTTGTTTACAAGAGACTCCCCAATCCCTCAAACCACGATTACATTTGTCAAGAGACACTTTGCTGGGGTAATGTGTGTTTAGCAACTTCGTCCTTTTCCCCCTTTGTTTTAGACTAGGACTATCTCGTTCCATCTTTACTTAGCCTCTACTAGTATTCACTTTTCTCCATGACTGAAAGACGTTTCAAGTTTCTTTCGGGATACTTTCCACATTGTATCTAAATCATAGATTTAGTCAGTTGTCCGCAAGCATCTGCTTAAATCGTCGTTCTTTCGATTGTGTATTGACCACTGGACTAGGGTATAACAACTGATATATTCTCCGCTGGTTGGCCTATATGTTTACACCCATGGTTTTCAAGATCGTTCTCAGTTTGCCAGGAATAAATCGCTTGCATGCGAATTTTAGACTTAAGACTCCGATCCCACTAACCTGTAGAAACGAGAACTTTCAATACGGTAATAGATAAACAACTTTTGTCGCGACGAAATGGTCCATGGTACAATCCATGTCGCCCTTCAATATACGGTAATAGATAAACAATGGAATTATTCTTGAAAATATTTAACACTGGAAACGATATAAAATCTAGAATGGTCAATGTATGTATAATTCGATATTTAAAGAAGCTAGTATGGTATATACTGATCAATATTAAAGTTAGAATAAACAAACATATACTCTTCAAAAAAAAGTAGGGGATATTCAGAAACAATACAAAACTGCGGAAATGCACTGCTGTTTTTATTAGAGGTAACCAGTGTATGTTAATAACAGACCAATTGACCATAGGCGTACGGGGAAATGTTTGACAGGGGGAGGGGGGTGGTGGTGGTTGGTGAAAAAAAAATGTAGTTAGGTTCTTAGTATGTTACATAATAATAATAAATTCGCTGTTAAATTGGACACATTCAAGAACGCAATATTTTTTATACAACTTTTACAAAGTACAATTGTGTGCCCAAATTTTCCCAGCATTTGGTGCCCAAAATGGGGGGCGGCCGCCCCCCAGCCCCTCCAGCTCGTAGGCCTATGCAATTGACTACACATGAAAATAAACAGTTCATATGGACGGCTTATCTGACGGCCCCATTTCACTCGCAAAGAGATAACTGTCAAAAGTGAAAAAGGTCGTTTTTGATTTTTGTCTTAATAATGAGTAAGTCCTCAGACATTCTGCAATTCGTCGTGGCATGCTCCTAATCAACCATCCAATCACGATTTGGGGCAATCTGGCCCACTCCTCTTGCAGTGCCACGGCCAATTCTTGCAGTGTTGTCGGTTGACGTTGACGTCGACGAACACGTCTCCCGATCAAATCAAACGTAACACACTAAAGCAAAGATACACTAAACAGTAAATCTTATGTAAGAACTAATAGGAAAGCTAACATGGATAGATAAACTGCAGTTTTCATCAACCCTTCCTTGAAGTGTCAAATTTGACAATGAACCCCTTACACGTGTATGGCGCTATTGCGTGTCGCACGTGCAGCTCAGTGGTTCTGTTGGGGCGATAAGTTCTTCATCTAAGAACATACTCTCAAAGCATGTCAAATGAGAGAGAGAGAGAGAAAGAGAGAAATGGGGTTTAACGTCGACTCGACACAAACTAGGTCATTTCGGGACTAACATATGGTTTTTAATTTTATTTCAATAATTCGCTTGCGCGTAGGGGTCTTTAGCAGTGGGAGGAAACCGGAGGACCCGGAGAAAACCCACGAGGTTGGACAGGCGACCCTACTCCTTGTCACGTACAACCGGGGATTCGAAACCACTCCAGTTGACTCAATGACAGACTTTATGGTACTGCGCGCACGTGCTAACCATTCAGCCATCCACCCCCCCGCATGTCAAATGTCCATGACTATTTATCATAAGAGTATATAAAAGACAATGATAACGATTAATGGAATTTATATATGTATAAAGTCTACCATACAGTTAAAATGATTAATGTCTGAACTGTCACGATGCAGGTACATTAGATTAGGCCAGCGGCTCCAGGTAAAATAAACTGATTGAAAGTTTAAAAAGTTATTAAAACATGAAACATTAGATGAATTAAATAATAAAGGGATGACGAAACGAATGAAAGGAGGGAGAACAAACACAGCGATATAAATTAAATGAAATAAAATGGGGGTTAAATGTTTTGTATGCACAAACCCGACCAATGAAATAAAATGGGGGTTAAATGTTTTGTATGCACAAACCCGGCCAATGAAATAAAATGGGGGTTTGCGTTCTATTGTATTCACAAACCCGACCAATGATATAAAATGGGGGGTTAAGTTCTATTGTATTGTAAGCCATAGTACTAACTAAACCTTTTTTGTAATTCTTAAACGATTTTTATCAATAATAGCACACTGTTTTGAAAGTAAACTATATACTATATGCATACTTTCCAGCGCTAAAAAAAACCCGTTCTAAACGATACCATTCTTCTAGTGCCAACCAATGATATAAAATGGGGTTTATGTCCTATTTTTCTTCACAGACCCGAACAATGGGTCGAAAAACTGAGGTCCTGTGTATACATTGGCATGCACGTAAAAGATCCCATGACAGTTGGAATTCGATATAAGAGTGCACGGGCAAAATTTCCCATTAGCCCAGTCGGAGCAGAACAGTAGGGCGTTAAACCCCATTTCATTTCACACGCCATCTCGGTCGTCCGTCTTAAAAATATAATATATCCCCATTGCAGTGGACATATTATAGATTATAGCCGTATAAATAGCCATTCGTCAAATGGGGTGGTTGGGTGGCCTGTTCGATGCCTGCCTGTACAAGGAGCAGGGTCCCCTGTCCAACATCTTGGGATTTCTCAGCCCCACCCCACCCTCACACTCAATGCCGGACTGGGCCCACCTGTCCACCTGTCCGTGACCGGTGGGCCTAAGCTCATTAAAAAACGTGGGCCTAAGCCTATAAAGAAAAAAGAAAAAAGAAAAGAGAAAAGAAAAGAGAAAGCAAGGAGAAGAGGAGGAAAGAAAAGAAAGAAGGAGGGAGTGAACGGGACACAGGACAGGAGAAAGAAAAGATAGGAAAAAAATGACTGACAAACAACACAAAAAAAATAAGTGTACTAGTATTCTGTGATGTGCGTCAACAGAACTGTCAAATACGTGTACTGTATGTATATTATAATTTGCATTATTTTCATAACGGAGAATTAAAGGTTTTTGTTTTTTTCACATTGAAGAGAATACTCCAATTGATCTAATGATAGTGCTCTTAGGTCATTCTGTTATCTAATTGTTTCAGGAAATCAAAAATTTGCCTTCTTCTGCTTTAGTTTGAAATGCTTGGAGGAAAATGGGTTTGC